ATTGTTTTGTTCAGTCTATTTGGTGTTCTGTTAAGTTTCTTATACTTTTACAGGCATGTCCTTCTTTAGGTCGGGAAAGTTTTCTTCTATGATTTTGTTGAATATCTTTTCTGTGTCTTTGAGCTGGTACTATTTTTCTTTCCCTATTGTTCTTAGGTTCGGTCTTCTCATGATGTCCCAGATTTTATGGATGTTTTGTGCTCAGACCTTGCTGGATTTTACATTTTCTTTGATCAATGAATTTATTTCCTCCGTTGTATCTTCAATGCCTCAGATTCATTCTTCCATCTCTTGCATTCTGCTGTTTATACTTGTATCTGTAGAGTCTGTTCATTTACCCAGATTTTCCCTTTACAGAATTCCCTAGGTTTGTTTTTGTTTTATTGCCTCTATTTAAATTTTCATGTCTTGAACCCATTTCCTTCACGCGTTTTTTCTTGGTTTTATTTATTGATTTATTCCAATTTTTGTCTTTTCCTCAATTTCATTAAGGGAGTCTTTCATTTCCTCTTCAAGGGCCTCTGCCATCTTTGTAAAGTTATTTAAGGTTGTATTCTTTTGTTTCATCTGCATTACATGCTCAGGTCTTGCTGTGGTAGAACCACTCATTTCTGGTGCTGCCGTATTGCTCTTGATATTGTTGAATGTGTTCTTACACCACCATCTACACATCCATGTTTGGGGGTGATTATAGGTACAGGTGTGGATTCTTGTGATGTCTTGTTTGGATGAGTCTTTTGTTACTTTATTGTCTGTTTCCTTTATTGTCTTTTGCCTGAATGACCATGGGTTCTGGAGATTGGCTGGCTGTTAGGTTGACTATGATTGTCTCGGCTGAATTTTATGGGGGTTTCCGTGCCTAGATGCAGTGTATCTTCTAGTTCTGGTGTGGGCTTTACTTGTGCCTATGGGGTCTGTTCTTCCAACTGGTGTAGGTTTTGCCTGTGCCTTTTCTTCCGACTGGTATGACTGGCGCTTGCACCTATAGGGTCCGCTGATGTTCCTGGAGAGGGTTGTTCAGTGGACACTCTTCTTTCAATTGGTGCAGATGGTACATTAGGGGCCACTGATGCTTTGGGGGATGGCTGGCCAAGGGGGAATGGTGGGTTCAATTGGTTTAGGTCTTGTAGGTAACAGAGTCCAATGGGTGGCTGCAGTGGTGGAGCAGCCTGTCTGAAGGACTTGCACCTGTTGACTGGCTGCTGGTGCTAAGATGGGAGGGGCAGGGGCATGGGATGTGCCCTGGGCCCTTAGGGCCTAGAGATCTGGGCAGTCCCTCTGGGAGATCAATCACTCACCTCTTCCTCCAGTCAGTGCTGGTGGTATCTGTGCCTCAAATTATGCATTTTATAAGCAATAATCTTGGGTCTCTAATAAATCTCCTTTTACCATACACATCTCAGTTCAAGTATGTATTACTTGATTAATACTATATAATCTTGATTTTATTAAAAATAAAATCAGTTGATGATTTTGAAAACACAAACTCAAATGCCTATAAACAACTATAAGGAAGATGTAATTTTAAAGCCAGGCATGGTGGTACATGCCTATAGTCTCAGCGCTCCAAAAGCCAAAGAAAACAGAGATAGTGTTCATGACCATCCTGGACAATATACTGAGACCCACCCCACCTTTGAAATGAAGCACAGAAGTTCATGTCTCTTTCATTATTTATGTGATAAATCCAAAGAATTATTGCACATAGATAAATTATTTGAATGCTGTTTGCATTATCTAATTAGTTTCATTATTCATTGAACAGAAAAAATAGCATCTCCAATACACTGGAAAAAAACCTCGTGTAAGGTCTGGTTAAAAAAGATTGCCAGACTGCTGTGCATTGTGTCACTCTATGGTGAGAGTTGCATTGAAAGCCTGGGATCCCGGTAGCTTAGATAACAGAAGGGTTAGTATGGCTAGAATTTGTGCAGAGGTATGTTTGTTAGAAGGTGTCAGAAGTAATAATTGAGTGCTTAAAGGTCAATGTAAGGCAGAACATGGTTTTCTGTTTTGCTGACTATATACCCCCCAGGATACTGAGATGCTGAATTTTGCTTCAGAAGAACTAAGAGTTTGATATCTTCTTTGATATTTTTAGCAGAGGTTTAGGACCTAAGGATGTAAGGGGGAATGGAAATCAATATTTATAAAGATCCCCAGACTCAAGGTTTCATGCTATATAGAAACTGGATCCAGGTCTATTGAGACATTGGTGCAGCATTTTATGTTGCCAACAGCAAATGTTTTGCACTTTTCCAGGTTGAGTTAAATTCACAAACATAAGTAATTACTCACCTGTGTATTTCTGGACCTAAGAATACTGTAAAAAATCCAATGGAACATTCTCGTAGGGACTAAAATTCATACAGACTCAGATGTAAGCAGAGCACTGTTCATAAGTATAGCTTGGCCCTAATTTTATGTCTAACCCTCCACATGCTAGCACATTGGTAAAGGGAGACAGCCTGACACTGGCTTGTGCCCCATTGTCAGAAAAGTAACCATGCAATGTCTATGCGGCTTTCACATAAAACAGCTAGTTTGTTTGGGTGGAAGATAGGGCTGTATTTATTGTACATTTCTTTTAGCTTTTCTACACATTTGAGTATTTCTTCTATGTAAGTAGTTTTCTTTTTTTCTATAATGTTTTAGTTGTGGTGTAGTCACTGTATATGGTAGTGGATTTCAAAAGGACAAATTTTTTTGAAGAGTTGCAGTTCCTTTTTTATTCATAAAAACATTTTTTCAAAAGGGGCTTTAAAATGGCAGTCAATACAAATAGTGAATAGTCTTAGCAAATTATGAAAAACAAAAACATGAACAAAAATAATCAAAATAGCAAATCTATAACAAAACAACCACAAGCAAAAATGTGAACCAAAACCAAAGGAAAAAATGAGATAAGCAACATTCTCTTCTTACAGTTTGAAAGGCACAGACCTACAGTCTGTATCTGGCCTTGCAAGGAAGTCACCTGTTTTAACAGGGTTTTCAAGATGAGTGTAGCAATTCCACTTTTGCTTCTGAGGAGTTCAGTACTTGCTGGGGATGGGCTCAGCAGGTGGCTCTTGCTGAAGCAGCTCCTTCTGTAAGTGTCTCTCATCCTGGGCAGTGTTCTGTTCCAGCTCAGGCTGCAGTTGTGTGGACCTAATTTGGGGGATATCAAAGTGATGTTGCAGCTTTTCTGCCAAATCCTTTTTCTGAATGACCATCTCATTCTGTGACAGTAGGACCTTGAGTCTTTCCAATATCTTGAGGTCCGATAGAAAGCTGTCTCCTTGTTTAGCTCACTGAACTTTTCTGATGTCTCGGTGTTCTCATTCTCAAGGATCTTTAGTTACCATGTGGCCTGTTTATGTTCCAAGTTCAGTTTCTTAGATAATGGATTTGGCTTGTGCAAAAGGACAATTTTAATGCATGCATATAATGCATTTTGAGTATGTTCTCCCATATGCCCATTCAAATATTTTACTATTATTACCATTTTCCTCCTAATCCTTTATTCTTCATAGACTTCGTTTCGTACCTAAAGGAAAGATTTTAAACCACTGTGATAAATGTCTTAAAGAGAATTTTTAGATCTTAAAGAAAATCAGATCATGCCTAGAGTTCCCATATAATCTCTTTCTTCTACCACAACCCCATTATTAATATCTTTCCTTAGCAGAACACATTTGATTACATTGTTGTACAGATTACTGTTCCTTAAAGTACAAAGTTCACACTAGGATAGACTTTTGTTGTATAAGTCTATTTTTATTACAAATGCAGTTACATGTATTTGCCATTATAGTATAATACAGGAAAAGTTCATTGTCCTAAAAATCATCTCATTGTCCTCATTCTCTTCTCCTGATAATCATCTTTTTAATGCCTTTATCATGTTGCTTTTGCCAGAGTGTTATATAGTTGAAACAATATTGTCTTCTTTAAAAAATGTTTCCATTAATTCCTTGAGAATTTCATGCAGTGGATTTTTATCCTATTATTCTCCTTAACTCCTTTCAGATCCACTCCCACTCTTCACCCCAACTTTATGTCCTGTTTTTTCCTATTCAGTAACCCATCCACCCCAGTTTGAGCTGTACACAGTCTGGAGTGACACCCTTGAATAAAACTGACTTTCCCTCCCCTAGAAGCCATCAACTGTCCACAGCTCCTCAGGGGCGGGAGCTCATGAATCCCTTTCCAATCCATGCTGAAAAGTAGCAGAGTAAGCAGTGTGCCTTCCATGGCTTGATAATTTATTTCTTTTTACTTATCATTTTAAAAAGGTAGCTTTTAAAACTTAGCAATAAGTTTCAAATTATATGCTTTGGATTCTGATTTAATAAACTATTGCTTAAAAGATAAATAAGCAATTTTAAATATGTACTATGCATTTGATATTATGAACTTACTAACCTTGATAGATGAAATAATTAAATTGCAGCTATATCGAAGTGTTTTTATTTGTTAGGAAGGAAAATAGAAACGCAGACAAGAAGAAATGAACTGACTGTGGAGATTATTATGAATCTGGCTTATATCACATTTCAGGGAATTGTGGGTTTGAAACAGTCTAGGAAACTTAAGTTAGGACCGTTCTATGCCCACTAGGACATTCTCATTTAATCCTGGGTTTTTCTTGGTCTTCTGTTGAGTCATTCAGTTGAGTCTGATGTGTGAGCAGTAACCTAATCACAATCCAAATGTAGACATGCCCAAGTTGTGAATAAAATCTGAGAACTTCCTGGTTAAAAATCTTTCAGTCGATTTTCACTAACCCGTTAGAATCTGCGAAAAAAACCCTGAAAATTTCCCTCACCTTAATACCGTCATAGAAGCAGTGGAAGCCCTTGGAACACAGAGAAAACGTTGGTGTATTGTGAAACATATTGAAAAGATGCTATTTAGGGAACCGTGATTGCCTTATTGCTTTGGAGAAAACAAATGCTTGAAAAGAACGCAGGGTGGCGCTGCAGCCTCAGAAGTAGAAGGAACCGGGACCACCCAATCATCCAGTAGCCTGAAGTTAACCGGAGGAGGAGGGAGAGGAAGCCTTCTAAGGCAGCGGTTCTGGAAAGTCTTAGGCCTGGGGATTGTGGACTTGTCCCATTGTCTGCAAGGTATTTGCAGAGCGAGTCAGTGACAACGTGAACCCCGGCTGGAGCGAGTTTGTTGGGAGAGCGGAAGGTGATGGAGGCTGGAGAGGAAATGGAGCGAATCCTGAAAAAAAGGCAAGTCGTGCTGTTCTTTGTTTTGCTGGGCATAGCTCAGGCTGGGTCCACTCTTAGGCGTTACTCAGTGGAGGAGGAAGCAGAGAACGGCTTTTTTGTGGCCAATTTGTTAAAGGACCTGGGGCTGGAGGTAGAGAAACTCGCTGCGCGGAGACCACGAGTCATTTCCAAAGGGAAAAAATTAAACTTAGAGTTCAGTAGGCAGACGGGGGATTTGCTGTTAAGGGAGAAACTGGACCGGGAGGAACTGTGCGGCCCCGCCGAACCCTGTGTGGTACCTTTCCAGGTGTTACTGGGAAATCCTTTGCAGATTTTTCAGGCTGAGCTACAAATTAGGGACATAAATGACCATTCTCCTGTTTTTCTGGATAAAGAAATAATTTTGAAAATTTCGGAAATGACTGCTCCCGGAACCACTTTCTTAGTAGAACGGGCTCAAGATTTAGATGTAGGAAGCAACAGTCTCCAAACTTACATGATCAGCCCTAATTTCTATTTCCATCTTAAATTACAAGTCAGTCCTGATGACACAATATTGCCACAGCTGGTTCTGGACAAAGCGCTGGATCGGGAGGAACAATCTGAAATCAGATTAATACTCTCAGCAATAGATGGCGGGGATCCACCCAGGTCTGGCACCGCCCTGGTCCGTATTGAAGTCTTGGACATTAATGACAATGCCCCCACATTTTTAAAGTTACGATATGAGGTTCAGGTCCCAGAGAACAATCCTGCTGGATCCCAGGTTGCTGTGGTCTCTGCTAGGGATTTAGACGTTGGGGACTATGGAAAAATAGCTTATGCTTTTTCCCAAGCTTCTGAAGACATTCGGAAAACATTTCGAATGAATGCAACATCTGGAGAAATCCTTTTAGCAAAGACACTGGATTTCGAATCCATCCAGACATATAGAGTTTATGTTCAGGCTACAGATGGTGGGGGACTTTCCGGAAGCAGTGTGGTGTTTGTCCAAGTGATGGATTTGAACGACAACCCACCGGAACTGACTATGTCCACACTAAACAATCACATCCCAGAAAATTCCCCAGAAACTTTAATTGCTGTGTTCAGTGTTGCAGATTCTGACTCTGGAGACAACGGAAAAATAGTGTGCTCCATTCAAGGGGATCTTCCTTTTATTCTAAAACCCTCAGTTGAGAACTTTTACACTCTTATGACAAACACAGCCCTGGACCGGGAGATCAGATCACAATACAACATTACCATCTCAGTCACCGACCTGGGCACACCCAGGCTCACAACCCAGCACACCATAACAGTGCAGGTGTCTGACGTCAACGACAACGCCCCCGCCTTCACACAAACCTCCTACACCCTGTTTGTCCAGGAGAACAACAGCCCTGCCCTGCACATAGGCACCATCAGCGCCACAGACTCAGACTCAGGCTCCAATGCCCGCATCACCTACTCGCTGCTGCCCAGCCACGACTCGCAGCTGGCCCTGGACTCGCTCATCTCCATCAATGCCGACAACGGGCAGCTGTTCGCGCTCAGGGCGCTGGACTATGAGGCCCTGCAGACCTTCGAGTTCCGCGTGGGCGCCACAGACCAAGGCTCGCCGGCTCTCAGCAGTCAGGCTCTGGTGCGCGTGCTCGTGCTGGACTCCAACGACAATGCTCCCTTCGTGCTCTACCCGCTGCAGAATGCATCTGCGCCCTACACAGAGCTGCTGCCCAGGGCGGCGGAGCCAGGATACCTGGTCACCAAGGTGGTGGCTGTGGACCGCGACTCTGGTCAGAACGCCTGGCTGTCGTTCCAGCTGCTCAAGGCCACTGAGCTAGGGCTGTTCAGCGTGTGGGCTCACAATGGCGAGGTGCGCACCTCCAGGCTGCTGAGTGAGCGCGATGCTCCCAAGCACAGGCTGCTGCTGCTGGTCAAGGACAATGGCGACCCTCCCAGGTCTGCCAGTGTCACTCTGCATGTGCTGCTGGTGGATGGCTTCTCTCAGCCCTACCTGCCTCTGCCCGAGGTGACGCACGAAGGCGCACAGGAGGATGACTTGCTCACACTGTATCTGGTCATTGCCTTGGCGTCTGTGTCTTCACTCTTCCTCTTGTCTGTGCTGCTGTTCGTGGGGGTGAGGCTGTGCAGGCAGGGCCGGGCGGCCTCTCTGAGTGGCTGCTCAGTACCTGAGGGACACTTTTCTGGCCATCTGGTGGATGTCAGAGGCACAGGGACCCTGTCCCAGAGCTACCAGTATGAGGTGTGCCTGACTGGGGACTCTGGGGTTGCGGATTTCAAGTTTCTGAAGCCTATCATGCCCAGCCTCCTTCATCAGAGTTCAGAGAGAAAGAATGATACGTCAATTACAGGAACCGTTTTGAAGTCAGTTAAACATTGATGGGGAAATAAGGAGCGGAGTCCCAGCTAAAACGTTAAATGCAGGGTTTTACTGCTTTGGCAACTGAACAGGTCTCTTCTTTGAATGCCACCATCTTGTTCCAGTCCTTTGCATGTTACTGGTGTTTCTAAGTAAGGTTTGTGGAATAAGGAATCTAAATTTTGCTTGTATTCCAATTGTGATTAGTCTTGTGATTTTATCTGACTTAGAACGCGAAAGTAAAATGTGTTTCCAGAAACATTTTTGTGAGACCAGGCCTCATTATGTAGCCTTGGCTGTCCTTGAACTCACTATGTAGACTGTGCTGGCTTTGAACTCATAAAGAAGCACCCGTCTCTGCTTCCTAAGTGCTCGATTAAAGGCACATAGCTCCTCGAACTGTATTAATCTTTAAATTTTGAGTTAGAGCCCCATTGACCAAATTTAACTTTTCCAGTTCTATTCTTTTGTTTTGATTTCTCTTTCAAAACAGGGTTTCTCTGTGTAGCCCTAGCTGTCCTAGAACTAGCTCTGTAGACCAGGCTGGTCTCAAACGCAGGGAGATCCACCTGCCTCTGCCTCCTGAGTGCTGGGATTAAAGGTGTGCGCCACATCCTCCCAGCAGTTCCTGATTTTTCTTAAGTGTTGTCTAAAATATTTTTCTCTGGATATCAGAGTTGTAATATTTTGCAGCATAGACTGTTTGTGTTCATTCTTTTGTTAGTGTAACTCTTATCTTGTGATCTGACTTTAAGTTCTTTACATCACTGTGAATAACATAGCACTCCCTCAATGTTTATCTACACACACACATTTTAAAATATCAGCATGGAAAACTTATGATTCCTTGAGGATTGCGGGAATTGTTGGGTTTCACAAAGTGTTCAAATTATTAATACAAAATAAACTCAAGTCAAAATCATATGTTAGTCTAAAGGATAGCTAAAGAATATACACCTAGTGATTTTCAAGGGCATGACTATTTCTCATGTCTTATTTCAAATAGTCTTCAAAACTCTCATTCTGAATTCAATACTTTTTGAAGACTTTTTTGAGTCAAGGTCTTGTCATGGTTTTGAACTTGTGACAGGTCTTCCCACATCCAGCATGTTGGTCTTGCAGGCATTGCATTGACATTCTCAGTTAATTAAACTACTTGTGACTTTATTATAATGGAACTTATTACAAGAGAGTATACTTTTATCTTTTACCAACCTAGAAAATTTGTATGTAGCTTGGCATTCCATTCTAAAAAATTACAGGCCATTAAAGATTCAATTGAATGTAAGTCCATGAGTAGTGTGTGGGCCCGTTATAACTTTTATTAATTTTCTGTGCTGACTTGTTCTGTTTTTCTCTCTTTAGTACCATAGATTTTTCAATACCTTCTTTTTAAAACAAAGTTTGGGATGGGTCAATGAGATAGCCAACAAACCTGAAAACCCTGGTTTATCCCAGACTCACGTGATGGAAGTAGAAAAACAACTCCTCAAAGTTTTCCTCTGACTTAAACACACGCACGTATGCACGCACACACACACACACACGCACGCACGCACGCACACACACACGCACGCACACACACACACGCACGCACGCACACGCACGCACGCACGCATGCACACGCACGCACGCACACGTGCACACGCACACACACGCACACGCACGCACGCACACACACGCACACACGCACGCACGCGCACACACGCACGCACGCATGCACACGCACACACACACACGCACGCACGCACACGCACGCACGCACACACGCACGCACACATGTAATTTTTTTAAAAATTAAATTTTTGAGTTATGTTTATTGGTAGCCCCCATTTATTTCATGATTATCACAGTCACTGAGATGTTTTAGGTTCTTAATATTTTTGACTGATTGAAAGATTTGTTTTAGTTGAGACACACTGATAATTAAAAAATATGGTAAGATATTTAATGAACAAAACTTTTGTTGGAACTAAATACTCTGACATACAATATAATAATTTGATTTTGCTGTAGTTATTTGAACATTATGCAGTTACCACTCTATTGGATTTCAACATATCTTTCCTTTTTCTGTCTCAATGCTTAATTCAAGTCTCCATTCCTATCCACTGCATTAATGAATACAGAACTTCTTGTATTTAATTTTATGTTTAAATGTGCTTATGTGTTTCCCAAGTCACTCACCCAACTTTCTTCACTTCTTGCAGTTGAATTTGAGGCAACCTGCTAACAATATTTAAAATTCTTAGTGTTTCTCAGGCTATTATTAATTTTTACATAATTTTATGCATACTTGAATGAGATATGCTATTAAACATATGGAGCTTTAATATTTCACTTGATATTATCAGTGACAGAAAAGATGGCCCTCGTATCAAAAGTCCTGAGTTTAACCAACTTACCACATGTGGGATCTTGGTTAGGTGACCTCCCACGGCATCAACTGATTCCATTATCAACTATCTTGCAGTTAACATCAAGTACAATAACATTATCGAAATACAGTTGCTATTGGTATTGGTTTCAGTGTCTCTAACACTGGGAATCAACTCGAGGATAAGTATGTGTGTAAACTCTGACACTCATGTAGAGAGCAGACTGAAGAGAAGACTGAGCACATATGTTTTGTCTACTTACCACCTGGTAATAGCTCCCTCTTTACTCTTGGAATAAAATACAAGTACTTACATTTCTTCTGGGTTTTACTCTTCTCTTCTCTGTAGCTCTTGAGACACTAGAATCTGGTACACTGTCTTTTATTACCTAAATTATAGATGCTTTACTCTTGCAGGCTCTTCTCCATCACCTGTTACACTCCTGATGCTTAGCAGTCCACATTAAATGTCAACATTTTGGGGAGAATTTTCATGACTACTCCCCATTCGGTTCTGTGCACTCAGCATGTTTCCTATGTTATACATTTCACACAGTTTGAGCATGTTTAAAATCTGTGCCCCATTAGTGGTGAAACTATATGAAGTCTATAGATCTTACCTTCCTACCATTATTTGTGTAACTTCTAGGAATTAAATTATTATCTATGGCAATAAGTTAATACAGGCTAAACTAATAACTATTAAATTTCTGTGAAAGGAGAGGAAACATTTTTAAATACTTCAGGAGCATGAAAATATGAAAAAACTGTGCATTTCAGTCACCTGACGTCAGTTGTATGTCACCACCCTGGCTTTTCAGAGTGTCTCTCTTGTAAGTTTTACAAAAATTGGAAAATGAAGAAAACTACAAAAATGAGAGACAGGCATTTTATCACTTAAAACAAGTATTTAAAATTTTGTAGGTAGTACTTATTGGCGAGGGTACTCAAGCATGTGTGTACTTGTAATGTAAATAAGGACTCTTCTTAGAGACAGCTAATTCCATTTGGTGTATTATACTTGCCTAGTTTTTGTTCAACTTGTGTGGCACGAGGAACCCTCTCAATAGGGTCAAGTAGGTTTGATAATGGGGTGGGGAACCGTCCTAAATCAAAACCAGTAACAAAATCCAACACTTTTTCTAAGAATTTGAAACTGAAAATGAACACATGGTGGCGCTGTTGACTAAAAAGACGAATTAAGACAGTGCACACTCCATGCTGAAAGAAGAGCGATCGGGGCGATAACACAAGGGTCGCAGGAAAATCTGAATCTCTGGAAAACACTAATTGTTAGACTATCTCCAAAAGACGTTGCCTTTCACAGAGAAATATAAGGCTCCTTTTGGTGACAAAGCCCTTGGAAAATCACCACGGAGATGGAGACCAGAGACGAGTACTTTCTTAAACAAAGGCAAGTCTTGCTTTTCTTTGTTTTTCTAGGTGGGTCTCTGGCTGGGTCCGGGTCTAGGCGCTATTCTGTGGCCGAGGAAAAGGAGAAGGGCTTCTTAATAGCCAATCTAGCGAAGGATCTGGGGCTCGGGGTAGAAGAACTGGCTGAAAGGAGAGCTCAGGCTATCTCCAAAGGGAACATACAGTATTTTCACCTCAGCCACCAGACCGGAGACTTGCTTTTGGTTGAGAAATTGGACCGGGAGGAGCTGTGCGGTCCCACAGAGCCTTGTGTGCTGCACTTTCAGATATTGCTGCATAACCCTTTGCAGATTATTACAAATGAGCTCGAGATCATAGATGTAAATGACAATGCCCCAGAGTTCTTTGAGAATGCAATGCAACTCAAAGTCCTGGAAAGCTCCCCACCCGGGACAATAATTCCCTTGGGAAATGCTGTGGACCTGGATGTGGGAAGAAACGGACTCCAGAACTACACGGTCTCTCCCAAGTCCCATTTCCACGTTCGCACCCGCCTCCGTAGGGATGGCAGGAAGCACCCAGAACTAGTGCTAGACAGACCTCTGGATCGGGAGGAGCAGCCAGAGCTCAGTATAACCCTCACAGCCCTGGATGGAGGATCCCCACCACAGTCTGGCACTGCCCAGGTCCACATTCTGGTCTTAGACATAAACGACAACGCCCCAGAATTTACACAGTCACTCTATGAGGTTAAAATTCTAGAGAAGAGCCCTGTTGACTCTGTCATTATCACAGTCTCAGCTTCTGATTTAGATACAGGAAATTTTGGTGCAATATCGTATGCGTTCTTCCATGCGTCTGAAGAAATTCTCAGAACTTTTCAACTAAATCCCATTACTGGTGATATACAGCTGGTTAAGGGTTTGGATTATGAAACAATTAGTACATACGAAGTTGACATAGAGGCCAAGGATGGCGGAGGCCTTTCAGGAAAATGTACAGTCCTAGTTCAGGTAGTTGACATGAACGATAATCCACCAGAACTGACTTTGACATCAGTTAACAGTCCTATCCCTGAGAATTCGGCAGAGATTGTAGTGGCTGTTTTCACTGTTGCTGATTTAGACTCTGAAGATAATGGAAGAGTGGCCTGTTCCATCCAGAACGATCTCCCCTTCATCATGAAACCATCTGTAGAGAACTTCTACACTATAGTGTCTGAGGGGGCTCTGGACAGAGAGAGCACAGCTGAGTACAACATCACCATCACAGCCACCGACCTGGGCACACCCAGGCTCACAACCCAGCACACCATAACAGTGCAGGTGTCTGACGTCAACGACAACGCCCCCACCTTCACACAAACCTCCTACACCCTGTTTGTCCAGGAGAACAACAGCCCTGCCCTGCACATAGGCACCATCAGCGCCACAGACTCAGACTCAGGCTCCAATGCCCGCATCACCTACTCGCTGCTGCCAGCCCACGACCCACAGCTGGCCCTGGACTCGCTCATCTCCATCAATGCCGACAACGGGCAGCTGTTCGCGCTCAGAGCGCTGGACTATGAGGCCCTGCAGACCTTCGAGTTCCGCGTGGGCGCCACAGACCAAGGCTCGCCTGCTCTCAGCAGTCAGGCTCTGGTGCGCGTGCTCGTGCTGGATGCCAACGACAATGCTCCCTTCGTGCTCTACCCGCTGCAGAACGCATCTGCGCCCTGCACAGAGCTGCTGCCCAGGGCGGCGGAGCCAGGATACCTGGTCACCAAGGTGGTGGCTGTGGACCGCGACTCTGGTCAGAACGCCTGGCTGTCGTTCCAGCTGCTCAAGGCCACTGAGCCAGGGCTGTTCAGCGTGTGGGCTCACAATGGCGAGGTGCGCACCTCCAGGCTGCTGAGTGAGCGCGATGCTCCCAAGCACAGGCTGCTGCTGCTGGTCAAGGACAATGGCGACCCTCCCAGGTCTGCCAGTGTCACTCTGCATGTGCTGCTGGTGGATGGCTTCTCTCAGCCCTACCTGCCTCTGCCCGAGGTGACGCACGAAGGCGCACAGGAGGATGACTTGCTCACACTGTATCTGGTCATCGCCTTGGCGTCTGTGTCTTCGCTCTTCCTCTTGTCTGTGCTGCTGTTCGTGGGGGTGAGGCTGTGCAGGCAGGGCCGGGCGGCCTCTCTGGGTGGCTGCTCTGTGCCTGAGGGACACTTTCCTGGCCACCTGGTGGATGTCAGCGGTGCAGGGACTCTTTCCCAGAGCTACCAGTATGAGGTGTTTCTGACGGGAGACTCTGGGACGGGTGAGTTCAAATTCCTGAATCCGGTGATACCGAACCTGTTCATGGAGGAATCTGACAAAAGAATTAAGGAAAGTCCCCAGTGCAGGAGTAGCTTTGTAGTCCGCTAAGTATTGTAAATGGTTCATCATCTCTCAGTTTTGGTAAACTTCTCATTTTAATTATTCACTTAAGAAGTTGTACTACCTAATATTTTTTAACCAGTAATTCAACCTATGGTATCCCAAATAGCTATAAACTTGCTACTCTTTTATTAATACCAATTTTACTTAGAATGTTGAATTTGTGCCCATTTTATATGCATTTTCTCCATATTCGGGCATCTCTTGGTGATTATTGTCATAACAGTTAAGGAATAATGTCTTCATGACATTTTGAAGCTTTTCAATGCACTTAAGAAAAATTATAGTTGTATTTGTGGCACCTATCTTTACCATACAACTTTATGGACTTTTAGGCTACATTGCTTAGAATTCTTTATGAGCCCTCAGGTTTTTGGGGTTAAGCAATCTGCATAGCTGTAAAAGCCAGCACACACCTTTCTCTTAAATTATATGTAAATTCATATTTTATTAAAGCATCACTGTGTGGAAGTTGTGCCTTGTCCTGTTGTGAACACTGTGTATCCTAGATATTGTTATGTGCCATCAATGCTAGAGTTAAACTTCTCAAAAACTATACAATAAAAATTAAGGAGAAAATATCATATACTTGCTCCCTTTTTTGTGAAGTCAGTCTGTTAATCACTAGTTTGATGAAATCCTTTTTAAAAAGTCATCTTAGTATCTGAATTATGAATCAACTCTAAGTTCATTGAGGACCCTTGAGGGCTCCAACTTTCTCTGTCTCCTTCCTTCCTTTACCACATGAACATAAGTCCCATTGTAATGGACAGACTGTATTTTCTTGGGAGTCTCTAGTTTTTGCTAACTTTAAAAAGAGGAAATTTCTACTGAATTTTGACTCATGTTTAATGAAGCTCTCAGATTTTTTTTTTAATACTTGATAGGGATGGGAAGTTGTTTCACTATTTAAAAATTTATTTTTTTGCTGTTTAAGCTTACTTTTGTTACCTAATGTAGCCTTCCATTATTATAAATTAGTTTTTTAAAGATTTATTTATTTATTTAATGTAAATGAGGGCTCTACCTGCAAGTATGACTTTATGCCAGCAGAGGGCATTAGACTTCACTAGAGATGGTTGTGAGCAACATGTGATTGCTGGGAATTGAACTCAGGACCTCTGGGAGAACAGCTGGTGCTGCTAACCTCTGAGCCATCTCTCTAGCCATAAATTACTTTTTATATTAAGGATTTTTTTCATATGAAATACATAATGTCTGATCACAAATATATAGGAAAATACTGTATTTGTCTGAACAGTAACTGTTTGCTGCAATGTTCAGTAAGCCTAGTAAAGTTAGAGTGTGGTTTATAACTAGATTTGTGTTGTTCTAACTATAAAATGTCACTGAACTTTGTCAGGAAAAAGTGAGCTATTTAAAAACTTTCCTTATAACCTAATATTTTAAAATCCAGTATATTATACTTCTGGAGTTCCAGAACCTGTGTGTTTCTGGAAATTACTTTTACCTCTAAGAATACAAGAAAAAAGGGATATTAACAAGAGTTTGACTTATTCTTGAAACATAGTTTTTTTTGTCTTTATCCAACTTTAAGAGTGAATCAAGAAAGAGGCAAAACTCAGATCAGTTATGCACAAATATATGACATAAATATAGAAGACAGCAATAAGGACTTTCCCATTGTTATCAGCTAGAACACCCCACCTTGATTCCTCTGTATATTCAAAAAATATGGAACATTCTAGACCAGCTAGGGACTACTACCAGCTTATAAAATTGACCATCAATTTGAATTTCATTTACTACCATGTAGCAGTAAACATGACCCAAAAACTTACACAAAATGTATACCTTAGGAACAAGGTCATTTTGTTGTTACTGAACAAAAGTGGAGAATAAAGGTCAGGTATCTTGATAATGGCACATATATTAACATGTTTTGTTCCTCAGATGATTCTATTTCATGTGCATCTCTTGCAATTTATTGCTGTTGTTCTTAGACACAAAATGAGTTTAATGTGTGCTGTTCTAGGGCAGAAATTCTACTGAAGGTGGCGAAGCTCATATCACTTTAAGATTTGCTATTTTTACAAACAAATGTATACATTATAATTAATATAGTATAATGTATAATATTTAATATAATACATTACATTATTAGTGTCAGGCTAAAAATTGTGCACATAGAATTAGCCTTCTCTATTAGATTGACTATCTGACATCACAAAGCAATTATACTTACAGATTAAAAGTCAGAAACTATGCTTTTAACAATAACAGAAAGTCAGTGATATTATAAGAACTGAATGGGCTAAAATTTCTGAGAAGAAATGTCCTTGGACAGATGAGTTGACAAGTCTGTTTGCCCCAGAGAAATTAACTAAGTGTGAAGACAAGCAACAAACTCTTGACAGGGACAAAGTAAATCAGTAAACTTGAACAGCGTGGAAGATTCAATCTTTGATTTAGTTCCTCCATTTATGACACTTAAACTCAGGGCAGACACCCAGAATAAAGGTAGAAAATTTATCAAAAGCAGACAGAAGTTTTACTTGCTAAACAAATAGTCGCAAGGCTCCTATGAGAAAGGGATGTGGAGAATATAACAAGTTCTCAGCTGCAAATGTTGTAGAGCTGGGTGCTTATTAACCCTGCAAGAGCCTCAACCAAGTACAGTGCTTGTTTGCATTGGGTGGTTTGATTAGATAGGACTCTATCAAGCTAACAGTAAAAGGTAAATTCCTCCTGGAGAAAGATAATAGAATCGTGATCCTAGATGACTTTTACACAGTTACCTACCATCCCACAGAAATTTCAAGGCACACATCAACAACACTAAATTCTATAAACAAAACAATAAGATAGGTGGTCTAAAAGATCCAGATATTAAAAATGAATGTAGCAAGTAGTTTTTAGCATAAAGTTAATGTGTTAAAATAAGGAACAGTGTATAAAGTAGATAAAAGGAAATTTCACCATCAAATGGAAATCTTAAACTGTAAATTTTGTAACTGAGAAAAAAGCATGACATAGACCTAAATTGTTGAATGCCACAGACATAAAGAAATGCAGAAAAAGCGGGTGCAAGATGACTTAAGATGAAATATCCAAATAGAGATACAAGGAAAGCATAATTAAAATGTAGAAAAGAATATTGGTAACATTTGGGATGTAACTAAGTTCTCTCAGATGCATACAACCATAACCCTAGAAGGGATGAGGGAATAAGATACAGCGTGCAACAATTAGTAAATTAGTGAAAGTCTTCTACTGTTCAAGAAGCTTAGTGAAACTCAGTGAGAATGAATGAAAGACAAAGAACAGCCAGCTGTGCCACAGGAAAGTTGATCAATACCAAGTTGAATAGGAAAAAACTAAATTCTTAAAGCAACTACATGAATATGATCAAATTACTTTAAAAGATATTCTACAAGATGGACATCTGACTTTAAAACTAAAATCATGAGACTAAGACAATGTCTTTAAAGTCTTGCAAGTTATTTAAAAAGTTGAATTGTCAGCACTCGGGAGGCAGAGGCAGGCGGATCTCTGTGAGTTTGAGGCCGGGCTGGACCGATAGCCTCCGAAACAATACAGAGAAACCCTGTCTCGTAAAAACCAAAAAAAAAAAGTTGAATTGTATTGTTGTCACACCCTTCAAAAACAAAGTTTTCTAATCAAAAGAAATTTTTGTGGGTGTAATTCATTAGACAGAAAAGAAAAATCCTAAGAGACTACAGAATTCTGTTGAGAACAAAACAGTAGCAGGAAAGGTAAATACAGAAACACACATGGTTTGGCTATTGGTTATACAAGGTAAGAACAGTAGGGGTTTTGGAAATTCATAAAAACAATAATGTAAGGCACAGGAAGAGTAGTAAAGAGGTCTAAAGTTCTCATTTCTACCAAGGGAGCAGTAAAATCAGTAATTTGCTTTACAATATCACACATCAAGATGCATGTTGTAAATTCTTGGATACCCTCCGAAAAGTAACAAAAAAGGAATTGAGGGGGAGGTAACATGAGAATAAGTGAAAAAAGAAAACTTCTTTAGAGATTAAGGGAAAAATATTGAGATTATGTGTGTAGCCAGGAAGATGTCAGATATATTACCTACAACTAGATTAAACAATCCAATTGAACAACCCAAATTTTCAGAATGCATTTAAGGAAGACTCAACTATATACCATCAACTATGTAAAAGGTAAGGAGAAGAGATAACACAGAAAAGCTGAAAGTTTTACAATTAAATAAAGTGTATGATACAAACACTAGTCACCATATGACAAAGGCAGCTATTTTCATTCATTTATATTATAAGAGTGAGTTAAGGAAATATATTACTAATAATGAGGCAGCTATTTCATAATAATAAAGAGGAAATACACAAGAAATATGCACATTTCTCGATAATTAATAATAACTACACAAGATAAAGTTGCCTATGTACAGAAGTAAAAGATACAAACCACAACCATATTTGGAGATTTGATAGAACTCTCTAAATTCCTGGTAGACTAAGAAGACAAACACAGACACACAAAGAGGAATATTGGGTGGTGGTGGTGCATGCAGATCCCAGCACTCAGGAGGCAGAGGCAGGTGGATCTCTGTGAGTTCAAGGCCAGCCTGGTCTACGGAGCGAGTTTCAGAACAGGCTACAAAGCTACAGAGAAACTGTCTTGAAGAAAGCAACAAATAAGAAAATATGGACAACTTATATTGAAAAAACAGTGACCCGCATAGCACATTAAACTATATTGGTTGTATTTACAGACAAATGGGGCATTATAAAAGTTTCCACATTCTTGATCAGAAAACATATTATATACTTTGACTGTGGTAAAAATTATATAGAAATGTAAAGGAAAACAAAACATTCCACAATATATAAAAATTAAATAATAAAATCCTGATTTGTCATCTCTATTAGATAAATTTAGAATTTTTTTTATTTTTGAGGCAAGGTCTATCTGTGTGGTCTTGGCTGTTCTGGAACTCACTTTGTATGCCAGGTTGGCCTTGAACTTGGAGACCCACCTGCCTTGGTCTCCCAAGTGCTAGGATTAAAGGCATGCACCATTATTATCTGGTAGAGAAACTTAGAATATTATGAAAATACACTTTGAATTGTTTATGTAGGCAATAGTACCAGTTTATATAAACACAAAACAAATGTGAACATTTCTCAAATCATTTGGATGTCAACATAATCTTAATAGAGTATGACATCCAAATTTGAACCGTACATTAAGACAAAAATGATAAACCAAACATTTTTATAGATATACATAGAAATTTTCTTCTTAAGAATCATAGGAATAAAATTCAGAGATATAGAAGAGGAAAATAAGAAATTATAACATAATTGGTTATTTTAAGAATACAATGCAGTTTAATAGTAGAAATTTGATCAATATAATCAACTGTATTAACAGATAAAGTTGAAAAGCAATATGACTATCAAAGTGGGTGCTGATAAATCATTCAACAAAAGTCAGCACATAGTAATAACAACAGTGTTAGCAAATTCACATGGAATAGAACTTTCAGTATCCTTAAAAACTAATAGCTAACATGATTGCTTTATCTACCTTTCTGTTGCTGTGATGAAACACAGTGACCAAAGCAATTTAAAGAAGATGGAGTTTATTTGGGGCTTACTGTTTCAGAAGCTGAGTCCATGATGATGAAGCACATGTGTGGTGGGAGGAGGCTGAGAGAGCTGACTGGAAATGGTGTGAGTCTTTGAAACCTCAAAGCCCACCCTCAGTGAAACACCTCTGTCAGCAAGGCCACATCTCCCAATTCTTCCCAAACAGTTTCCACCAACCAGGGTCCAAGTGTTCAAACATATGAGCCTATAGGGGCCATTCTTACTCAAAACACCACAATTGCTGATGATAAACGAATTGAAAAGTCACCCTGGAGATCAACAATGAGACCAGATTACTTAAATTCAAGATTTTACTATCAGTCCCAAACAGAGGAATAAGTAAATGAGGAATAAAAGTCTTAACGATTGGAAAGGGAGAAATAAAATTATATTTTAAATAACACAATTAAGATAACAAAAATATGAAGTCTATAATTTATTAGAACTGATAAAGCTGGTAATAAAGTTGGATGCATGGTAAGATCACATATGAGCTATGTTTATATAAAGAAGTGAAAATTGAACAGCCCTTAAAAAGTTTTTCAAAATATTGATTACCTTGAAACAAATCAATAGCACAGTTATATGACTTATACATAGGAATCTATAAATCATTTTTGAGAATAACAGATTTAAATAAATGGAGGAATTAATGGCTACTAAATTGAAGAGTCAAGAGATGGAATGCTAGTTTCCCTAGGTAGTTCACAGAAAGCATATATGCATGGTCTGGGAAAATAGCTGGCAGAGAGCTTGCATAGTGTATGTCAAGGCCGGGATTTCACCTTCACATGCACACAAGAGAGGAAAGAACAGAAGGAAGTATAAAATCCTTAGCAAAATTTCAACGAGTTTCCTTCCTAAAACTGATGAGTTGAATGCATACTTGGTATGCATATGAAAGGAAAAATAGTGAAGAAATAATGGCTAAGAAAAATAAAATTGGATATACTACCACAATGGAATGAAGACTGGATAATGTAGGTTTGATTAAAATTAAATGAATTAAAAAATTTCTGCTCTGAAAAAGATTCTATATGGAAAATATAAGTTGTAGACAGGGAGAAAATACTGCCAAAAGGCATACTTGGTGAAAAACAGCTGTCCAAAATAACACAAGACATTACAAAACTCACCAATAATAAGAAGACAGTCTAGTGTGAAAATAAGAGAAAGACCTTAGGAGCCACAGTGCCAGGTAAGATGCAGAGATGGTAAATAGGCGTGTGAGAAGACATTCTGCAGTAACGCAAGTTCAAGTAACAACCCCCACAGTCCTACTAAAATAATTAAACATGAAAAAGTTTATTGACAAGAATATAGAACAACTAAAGGTCTTATGCAGTCATGATATTGCTTTTCTCACTTACGGTGCTGGAACTCCAGGGTAGTCTTACTAGGCATGAGTTCTTTGGTTAAGCTTCATTTCCACACTTGTTTTCGAAGACAGGGACTCACTACAAAACCCACACTGGCCTTGAACTTGGGATCTTCCTTTCTGTTTCTTCTCAAGGCTGACATCGCATGTATGAGCCATTAGGCCCAGCTTAGTACAAACACTTCTGTAAAATATTTCACAGCATTTAATAAAGCTAAATATATTTCACACTTTAATGAACAGCAGTCTGATTGCTATTGAGCATAAATCCATATTTATGGTTGCCAAAGGACATGTACAAGACTGTTCTACTCTCTACCCAAGGTCGAAACTCTAAACAGCCAATTTTCACTAACTGGAGCACACATGAAGAAGTCACGGCACAGTCATGCAGAGAAAAAATCAAGCAATAACAACAGTACAAGTCAGCTTTACAAGCACAGTGTTCAGCAACAGACAGCAGAAGCAAAAGAAGAATAAGGCTATTTGTATAAAATTTCTAACAAAGGCAAGATGTTCTAAATTAAATACATGATAATAAGAGTCAAGACATTGTCTTTTGGGAGAAGACTAATAACTTGTCAATGGTAAGATCAAACATTTAGGGTGTGTGTGTGTGTGTGTATACACATCTTTCTCTGAACCATAAGCTCATCGTTTTGGCCACAGTGTCTGGCCTGTGAGATTCCTAGATCTGCCTGGCTCCAGTGCTGGTGGTACAGGCATGTGCAGCCATGACTACCTTATTGGGGGTTTGAACTCAGGTCTGCATGTGTGAAAAGCAAGCACTCTTTCCTACTGAACCATTGTCTCACCAGCCCCCATTTTGCTTCCTTGTCTAGGTTCTATTAATAGAAGTATTAACTGTGAACGTTTACACAGATGTACACTTAAGATCTGTGTCCTTTCTAGACATATTACACTTCAAAGCAAGAGTAAATTGTGTAAAATATGAATCCATTGTCATTAATTTATTCATTTTCATAAAATGTAAGACACAAAAGGCATTTCTTTACATGCTTAAGAATTATTTTAAAAATTAATGTGATGTGTTTTAAAAGCTTCTTTTTACTGAAAATTAACTTGGCAAATACTTATTTAAAACTCAGAACTGCTAAGGGCTGGGTGACAGTTCAGGGTGCATATGTAGCTTCAAATGGCTGTGACGCAGAGTTAGGAACAGGAAAAATGTGGTGGAGCAGCTGGTGGCTGGTGGTCTGGTCAGGAGCAGGCCTCTGGGGCTGGCCATGACTGTAGGCCAGAAGATGGAGCCTATGAGAAGGCTATGTATACGAGCCTGGAACTCGTGAGAAGCAGATCAGGAGTGTAGGAACTCGTTTGTGCAGCAGCAGCATTATACAACAACACTGCTGTATGGTGTTGCACAGAGACCCACAGCTCAGCACCATCCAAAGCATCTGGGGCGACAGATGATTTGATGCTCTGCAGAATTTGCCGCTAGTATTTCAACACTGCAGTGAACATCCCCACTGCTCTCCCAACTCTGTATTGGAAAAGTCTGGGCCTATAAAACTCAGTGTCCAAGTTGTTGTGTATCAGTCACACAGACCTGAGAAACAGTAGCCTTTTAGATGAACTGGTTAAAAGCACACATTTTACATGGGATCACCTTGGGCAATTTTAGCTTTGCCACCTACATCTCCTTTGTCTTTCACCTCAAAGGGAGTTGCTGTCAAAGTACATGCTGCTGTCATCAATCTTTCTATAGAATAAGGGAGCAGGTTAACGGACACGTTCTCTTATCAGAGTTGCTGGGAAAATCAATGACAAGAAATTCAATCCCCCAACCAGGGTCAAGCACTTCTGCAGAGACTAAAGAGACTCATTGTGTAGGAACGATGGCTCCTAGTTCCTTAGATACTAACTGTCCTGTGTCTCCCTTTATATCTACTCTGGAAATGGACACTACAGTGGCTGTTACTGTTCATAGGGTCAACATTCCTGAAAGTCTCATTCATAAGCATCTAGACAGTAGCTTACCAAAGCAAGAAAAGAACCTTAGAAATTATACTCACAAAAGGAAGCTGCTTCCCCAAGCTGTGCTTAACTTGTTCTCTGTCTGTCTTTTAAAGAAAAAAACTAAACTGGTAAGGATGATCTCTCCAAGGAAACAAACAGCAGCTTGTTAAAAAGCACCAAGAGTTTGCACCCATGTACAGTGCCCAGTGTGATGGTTTGCACTCCACATCAGCAGCTGAAAGAGTGCAAGACAGTAAGAACATGGAGAAGACCAAAATGTGCCTCAAAGCAAAGAGACACAATGCTGGTGTCATGGCTTTACAAACCAACAAGCAGAAAGGGAAATAAGTAAAACCCACAGTACACATTGTGTAAAAGGCATCAGAACGATTCCAGTTTCTGGTGGATTAGATCAGACCACAAATGATACAAGAAAACTGGCAGAATGTCAAAAGCCAAAGTATTGAAATACGTGAGCCCACAGACAAGTTGCCATTGTATGTCTGTCAGTACACATGGGAAAGAAGATGGGAACATGGACTTCCCAGGTGTGATCCCGGCAACAAACCACTTTCCTCAAGTCGGACTCTCTCCTCCCTCAGTAATCAGTGCCCTAGAGACCAGATGGATCTCCTGGTTGCACTGATATTCCTGTCAGCAGTCACATTCATGAATAATTCTAGTTCTGCCATGGTCTTTCCAAGAGCTCCTGCAATTTCAGAGTTCTTTAAAGTCCATTTTCATATTATTTCCACTGGGGAACCAATTAAAAAAACACAGCTTTCCAGGTGTTGGTGGCCACATGCCTTTAATCCCATTACTCAGGAGGCGGAGGCAGTCGGATCTCTGTGAGTTCAAGGCTAGCCTGGTCTACAGAGCAAGTTCCAGAATAACCCCCAAAGAAATACAAAGAAACAACAACAAAAACCCAGCTTCCTTTCACCATCTTTACTGTAATAATCAGAGGAAGGTATTAATACTTTTGTCCAAATTTACATACTTTTAAAAAGTTCCATACCAGGTCATCAGCATCCAACAGTTACTGATGGCTGTTTACTAAGTTGGATATATTTGTTTGTTAGACCCATGTGCGTTTTACATAGAGTATGTTTGTAAAGTCACAAAATTAGTATTATAATTTTTAAAATGTCAGGAGAGTCAGTAGTTGAACTTAAGGTAACTGTTACAATAACTTAGAAAATTTTGTACTTTTTTTTGGAAATGGAGTTCCAAGATGATTACTGTTAGTATTTTTTTCACCGGGGTCCGACAGGCCTTTAATATTTTTAATACTAGCTGTTAAACCAAAATAAAAAGTGGAATAAATGGATTTTAACAAGGGGAGAAAAACCAGAACACAATGAAAAAGGCGCATGCAATTGTGAATAAGGACACTTGGTGGCGCTGCAGGCTAAGCGTATGAATAACGGGCTCAGCGCTGCGACTGCCCTGGAAGCCATTACTAGGCATCAGAACTTAGACTGGTCTGTTTCCTAAAAGAAGGTGGTATTCAGGCTGGATCTAGGAGAGCAATCATCAGAGAAGGCATAGCTACAATACCAAGTCAGTGAGTAAATTTTAGTTCTGTTATTTTGAAAACACGTGAGCGAATTCGAACTGCACCTTTTGGATCCAGTGTGAACAATGGAGACAGCGCTCGCAAAAACGCCACAGCAAAGGCAAGTAGTTTTTCTTACTATGTTGCTTTTGTGGGAGTCTGGCACCGAGGCAATTAGATACTCCATGCCAGAAGAATCAGAGACTGGCTACTTGGTGGCTAACCTGGAAAGAGATCTGGGGCTCAGAGTGGGGGAGCTGGCCTCTAGAGGGGCACAAATCCATCACGGGAGAAACAAACAGCTCTTGGGGCTGGATGCAGAGACCGGGAATTTGCTATTAAAGGAAAAGCCAGATCGCGAGGTGCTGTGTGCGGCGACAGACCCTTGTGTGCTGCACTTCCAACTCATACTGGATAACCCTGTGCAGTTCTTCCAAACTGACCTGCAGATCACAGATGTAAACGACCATTCTCCAGAGTTCCCTGACAGGGAAATGCTTCTAAAAATCCCTGAGAGTGCCCAACCAGGGACTGTGTTTCCCCTGAAGGCAGCTCAGGACTCTGACATAGGGAGCAATGCTGTTCAGAACTACACAGTCAGCCCCAACCTCCATTTCCATGCGGTCACTCACAGTCGCGCTGATGGCAGGAAATACCCAGAGCTGGTGCTGGACAGAGGCCTGGACAGGGAGGAGCAGCCTGAGCTCACTTTGACCCTCACTGCTGTGGATGGAGGGTCTCCGCCCAGGTCTGGGACCACCACAGTTCGCATTGAAGTCGTGGACATCAATGACAACGTCCCCCAGTTCCTACAGTCGCTCTATGAGGTGCAGGTCCCTGAGAACAGCCCCCTTGGTGCCTTAGTTGTCACGGTCTCTGCCAGGGATTTAGATGCTGGGATATATGGGAATGTCGCCTACTCTCTGTTTCAAGGTGGTGGAGCTTCTCAACCGTTTGTAATAGATGAAGTCACTGGAGAAATCCGTCTGAGCAAAGAGTTGGATTTCGAGGTAACCAACCATTATAACATAGAAATTGCGGCCACGGATGGAGGTGGCCTTTCAGGGAAATGCACGGTGGCTGTACAGGTGTTGGATGTGAATGACAACGCCCCAGAGCTGACCATTTCCAAGCTCTCAAGCCCTATCCCCGAAAACTCCCTGGAGACTGTAATTGTTGTTTTCAGTGTTTCTGACCCAGATTCCGGGGACAATGGAAGGATGGTGTGTTCCATTCAGAATGATCTTCCATTTCTTTTGAAGCCCACATTCGAGAATTACTACACTTTAGTGACAGAGGGAGCACTGGACAGAGAGAGCAGAACTGAGTACAACATCACCATCACAGCCACCGACCTGGGCACACCCAGGCTCACAACCCAGCACACCATAACAGTGCAGGTGTCTGACGTCAACGACAACGCCCCCGCCTTCACACAAACCTCCTACACCCTGTTTGTCCAGGAGAACAACAGCCCTGCCCTGCACATAGGCACCATCAGCGCCACAGACTCAGACTCAGGCTCCAATGCCCGCATCACCTACTCGCTGCTGCCCAGCCACGACTCGCAGCTGGCCCTGGACTCGCTCATCTCCATCAATGCCGACAACGGGCAGCTGTTTGCGCTCAGGGCGCTGGACTATGAGGCCCTGCAGACCTTCGAGTTCCGCGTGGGCGCCACAGACCAAGGCTCGCCTGAACTCAGCAGTCAGGCTCTGGTGCGCGTGCTCGTGCTGGACGCCAACGACAATGCGCCCTTCGTGCTCTACCCGCTGCAGAATGCATCTGCGCCCTGCACAGAGCTGCTGCCCAGGGCGGCGGAGCCAGGATACCTGGTCACCAAGGTGGTGGCTGTGGACCGCGACTCTGGCCAGAACGCCTGGCTTTCGTTCCAGATGCTCAAGGCCACTGAGCCAGGGCTGTTCAGCGTGTGGGCTCACAATGGCGAGGTGCGCACCTCCAGGCTGCTGAGTGAGCGCGATGCTCCCAAGCACAGGCTGCTGCTGCTGGTCAAGGACAATGGCGACCCTCCTAGGTCTGCCAGTGTCACTCTGCATGTGCTGCTGGTGGATGGCTTCTCTCAGCCCTACCTGCCTCTGCCCGAGGTGGAGCGCGACCCCGCACAAGACCAGGATGCACTCACGCTGTACCTGGTCATCGCCTTGGCATCTTTGTCTTCGCTCTTCCTCTTTTCTGTGCTGCTGTTTGTTGGGGTGAAGCTGTGCAGAAGGGCCAGGGCGACTGCTCTGAGGGGCTGCTCTGTGCCTGAGAGACACTTTCCTGGTCACCTGGTGGATGTCAGCCGAATAGGGACGCAGTCTCAGAGCTACGAGTATGAGGTGTGTCTGACAGGAGACTCTGGGATCTCAGATTTCAATTTCCTTAAGCCCATTATTCCCAGTAGTCTGATTCCAGACACACACATGCTGAATAGTTAAAATTATAGAAATGACTTAGGTGTCTTTAAGAGAAAGATAAAATAGTAGTTGTTGGGATGTCAATTTTTTTTGGTAATCTGTAATATTGCCCTGAGATTGTTTTATTTCTATGTGGCTTCACTTTTATGTCATCATTTCGTGCTTTAACTGTCTCCTGTCTGACTAACACAATCTTAGTGTATGTTTTCTCTTACTCAGAGGATAGTAAAATCTTCACTCTGTTAGTGACAACTTAGTTTTATATCTCATTTAATGTAGTGAATTTGGTGAGCAATGTAGAATCACAAACATTTCACAATTTATTTATAACAATTTCCTCTTGAGTTTTAGGAGGTATTCTAACTATCCAATGTGCTAGGTTTATTGAGATGCTTGCATACATGCAGATAACCCACCTGGTTTCATCTTGTCTCTAACCTCCAGCCTCCCTGTTTGCTTTCTCATTGCTCCTGAATAACACCAAGAAGGGAAAGTTTTCTTCTCTTGTCCTTGTGTGTGCCTATTGTTCCATCCATTTTCCTGTGAATGATGTAGGTTTTCATTCTTCTTTAAGGACGAATGAAGTCGCAGTGTGTGAATTGGAGGTGTGACTCAGTTGGTAGAGTCCTCAGCATGCACACCCCCCTGGCTTTGAGTATCAGCATCATGTGTTACACTGAAGCTCCATCTGGATTATGTGAGACTCTGTCTCTCAAAAACAAAAAAAAACTTCATTTTGCATCTGTTACAATAATTTTAAAGTGTTTTCTCTATAGTCAACTATGGTGTTAAGTACAAATGAAAAATGTTTTTTAAGGAATATAGTAATTTGCAATCCTTTTAGGAGCAATAAGTTTAACTCATTTCTTTATTGACAGTAGTTATCCCTTTTTTTGAGACAGGGTTTTGCTACATTGCCCGGACTGTCATGGAACTCACTATGTAGACCTAGCTAGCCTCAATCTCATTGAGATTTATCTGCCTCTCTCTCTCCTGAGTACAGAGGTCCAACTCATGCACCACCATACCCAGAAGCAATTAATGTTCAAGATTTCATTTTTTTATATTGGCCTAAAAGCCAAAACCATAGATAAATCTACTGGATTACTTTTATGCTTTTTTTTACTTCATGGTTGTTGAAAGTGTAGTTACAGTGTACAGGAATAAATTAAGCATTTTAAACTCTTGAGCATTGTTTCCTTTTCATGTGATTTGGTGAGGTGTATAGTTAGATACCACTTTGTTATGTAAATGCTGAACTGTTGAAGTAAAAACCCATGGGATAATTTTTTTTAAAGTACTACAGAAAGGACAGGAGTTCTGTTAAGCCCTATTGGTTACTGATATCCATTTCTCATATATATGGTAATGCAGGAGGAAAATATCTTCTTAGTTTACTGTCAATGTTCCTTCTGATTGTAATCTGACATAGTTTAGGATTGCTCAGAATCTTGCTCAGATAATAACCTTTGATCAGTATTCTGCATCACCATTGTAATAAAAAGATGTATGAAAATGGGAATTAGAGAACAATATTATTGAGAAAGATCCACTACAACATAGAATTAAATCTATAAGGAACCAAAACTTCAAATATTATGGCTCTTTTGAATGAAATATGTCTTAGTTTTCTACTTCTATGATAAAATACCATGACCAAGGCAACAAGAAAGAGTCCTATCAAGAAAGAGTCTATGGAGCAGAGAGAATTCCTGGTGACTCACAGTTTCAGAGGGTGAGAGTCCATGACCATCAAGGCAGGAAGCATTGCCAGGAGTATGCAGAAGGCAGAAATAGTGCAGGAGAAGTGCCTGAAAGCTGACACCTTGACCCAGGAGCAGGAGGCTAACTGGGAATGGTGTGGGCTTTTGAAACCCCTGAGCACACCCCCAACGACACAACAGCCCCAAAAGGCCACACCTAATCCTTCCCAAACAGTCCCACTGACTGGGGACCAAGTGTTCCAATATATGAGCCTATGGGACAATTCTCATTCAAACCACCATAGACTGTGACTGTGACTGTGACTTCACAGGAGAGCACATTTTTATTGTGCTCATGGCCTTAGGTTCTATCTCCACCACATAAGAAGGACTTTTGTTTGGATGGCTACTCTCCTAATATTTTCTCTAGCCATTGAGATCTTTGTGAATCTTGCAGCGTGCAGGTTCCATAGCCCTTCCTTCTCATTTATACCACACAATAACACAAATTCCACCTTTATAAACTACACATGAATGAACAAGTGTTCATAATTATTCAGAGATATATTGCAGAAAGCTGAAGGATGAAAAATATATACCATATAGACAGTAAACAAAAGAAGTTTGGAGAATAGCAAAAATCAAACAAAATTAATTTTAAAGACCAATAAAACACTGGTAAAGAGGGACATAATGCATGATAAAAGGGAGAACCTATTGGGAAAATATAACTTAAATGTATATGTATCTAAATACAGGACCTCAAAGTAAATTTCTTAGTTGCTGTTTCTGTTGCTATGATAATAACCCTGACCAAAGCAGCCGAGAGATAAAGTATTTATTCTGGCTCACAGTTCAAGGGTGTAGTCAGTCTTGGCTGGAGGTTCCAGAGCTTGAAGTAGCATTTACAGCAAGGAAGCAGAGAACAATGAATGTTGTGTTCACTCCACCTTTTCATTTTTATATCATCCAGGACTAGTGCTACCCACAGCGGTCAGGTCTTCTCACTGCAAAGGATCCAGGATTTAGTTTCCTAAAGACATGTCCAGAGGCACATGCCCCAGATGAGATTACCCATCACAACAAATGAAACAAAATTTGACACAAATAGTATTTAATCTTATGATCAGTTTCAAGTAAACTAGTTATAAAACCAAGATTAACTTTAAAAGTTCCTGTAAACACACACTGATAAAATTGACTAAAGAAGAAATAGAAAGTCAGAATAGACTCAATGAATCATTGTTAGTACTCAGATTTTTCCATAAAGTCTTACAACCAGATGACTCCACAATTAAAAAATAGCATCAATACTTAAAAATTGTTTAGAAAATAGAGGAACAGAAACTACTTATGAACTCATGATGGTTGTAGTAGTCCCCTATGAGGAAATCAGTCAAATACAAGAAAACTATTTACCAATTTTGAAGTATGTCTTCAAAATTTCTCAACTAAATACAAGGTATTAACTCTGTTAACATACATGGAGATTATGTGTTATGGCCAAGAAAGATTATCCTTGGAATAAAACATCTTTTCAATACTCAAAATAAACCAATGCAATAAACTTGTTAGCAAGCTAGTAGAAAAACACTACACAACTTTTTCATTAAATGGAGAAAAGCATTTTAGAAAGCAACACTTTCATGACAATAAAACATACAAAACAGTAGGTGTGAGGAGCCGCCCTCGCTATCGCTATTGCCGTTAGAAGATGGCGCTGACATCCACTGTCAGTTGGAGTTAACTGTTGCTGTCAGTTGGAGTTAACTGTCGCTGTCAGTTGGAGTTAACTGTCGCTGTCAGTTGGAGTTAACTGTCGCTGTCAGTTGGAGTTAACTGTCGCTGTCAGTTGGAGTTAACTGTCGCTGTCAGTTGGAGTTAACCGTTTAAACTGTGCCTCTCCCGTGACGTCATCTGGGGTGATGTGCAAACCACCAATCCCGGCTCTACACATCTCACTCGGAGCTCCTAGGCTTATATAAGGGGCTGGGTTTCTTAGCTTGGGGTCTCCCTCTAAGAAGCTGATCATCTATCTCTCAAGATGCATTAAAGCTTTACTGCAGAAGGATCCGAGTGTTCTGCGTCGTTCTTGCTGGCGAGACGGTAGCGCGGGACATCTGGTGCCGAAACCCGGGAACTCTTCAACATCGCCGGCGCCGCGGGAGACCCCTCGGAAAACGGGGCGGATTCAGAACTGCAGGGACGTAGGTTCAGAGAGGTATGCTTTATCCTGAACAACCCTTTTCTCGACTTTGGCCTTAGTTTGTCATCACCGTGGGACGGGTCAGTGGAGGCTTTGGTGCTAGTCCTGTTTGTCCTTCTCCTTCATCGTGGCTGGTGCTGACAGAACGGCGCTGTCCATCTGGCGCTGTCCATCTGGCGCTGTCCGTCTGGCGCTGTCCATCTGGCGCTGTCCATCTGGCGCTGTCCATCTGGCGCTGTCAGTCTGGTGCTGTCAGTCTGGTGCTGTCAGTCTGGTAACGGAGTTGAGCGCGTTTTTTAGATAAGCTGTCAGCGCGATGGGGTCGTCACAGTCAGTGGTTACAGCCTTACAGACTGTGCTAAAACAAAGAGATCTTAAAATTGCACCACGAACACTTCAAAATTTTGTGAAGGAGGTAGATAGAGTGGCACCATGGTATGCTTGTTCCGGGTCCCTCACTGTGGCCTCATGGAACAAGCTAGGTAAAGAACTAGACAGGAAGCATGCAGAAGGAGATCTCTGCTTAGGTACCAAAGCCATTTGGAAGCTAGTTAAAAACTGCTTGGAGGATGAGGCCTGTCACCCTGCTATAATAGAAAGTCAGGGAACCTTAGAGGAAGTTCAGGATAGCATGTCAGAAACTGAACGGAGTGAGAGAATGGGAGCTCGCAAAAGAAAAAGACATGTCTAAGAAAAAAGGCCCTCCCCAGGAAGTTAAGAAAGGGGGAGAGAAAGAAGGGAGTTATCATTCACCCCTTAACAAATCTAAGAAAAAGAAAAAGCCAGAATCTAGTCTATACCCTGCAGTAGAGCTAGAAGCCTTGGAGCTAGATAATTCTGATTCTGACACTCTGGATTCTAGCGAAGAAGGTGGTCTAGAGGAGGAGGTGGCACGGTATGAGGAAAAAAGATATCACCCTGATAGACACCGGCCACTGAAAACAAAAATGAATGTGAGGCCACCGCCTATAAATCCGGCGGGCTCACGCCCCTCAGCGCCTCCGCCATATGAGCTTCGGCTGAATACTGGTACTGACTCCTTTTTACCTTTAGAGGAACGGAGAAAAATACAAATGGCTTTTCCAGTATTCGAGAATGTGGAAGGCGGAAGAGTACATACCCCGTAGATTACAATCAAATTAAAGAATTGGCCGAATCCGTTCGTAATTATGGGGTCAATGCTAACTTTACCACATTACAGGTGGAAAGGCTTGCTAATTTTGCCATGACTCCCACTGACTGGCAAACGACAGTGAAAGCAGTGCTTCCCAACATGGGACAATACATGGAATGGAAGGCTCTCTGGTATGATGCAGCCCAGGCACAAGCTAGAGTTAATGCCACGGCTGAAGATGAGAATCAGAGGCAGTGGACATTTGAAATGCTGACAGGTCAGGGTCAACATGCCCTTAATCAAACCAACTACATCTGGGGCGTCTATGGTCAGGTGTCGGCCGCCGCTATTAAAGCATGGAAGGCCCTCACAAAAGGGAGAGTCCAGTGGACACCTTACAAAGATTGTCCAAGGACCCCAAGAGCCATTTTCAGACTTTGTGGCCAGAATGACAGAGGCCGCCAGTCGCATCTTTGGTGATTCAGAACAAGCTATGCCCCTGATTGAGCAACTTGTCTATGAACAAGCAACCCAGGAATGTCGAGCGGCTATCGCCCTCGCAAAAGCAAAGGTTTACAAGATTGGCTCAGAGTGTGCAGGGAGCTGGGGGACCCCTAACCAATGCAGGACTAGCTGCCGCCATTTTACAAACGCACAGGTATAGAGATTTATCTAATCGAAAAGCTTGTTTTAATTGTGGGAGAATGGGGCACCTTAAGAAAGATTGTCAAGCCCCTGAAAGAACAAGAGAATCGAAGCTTTGCTATCGTTGTGGTAAAGGTTATCATAGGGCTAGCGAATGCAGGTCAGTCCGGGATGTAAAAGGGAGGCTTCTGCCCCCTATTGAAGAATCCAAGGTACCCCAATCAAAAAACGGGTCACGGGGCCCATGGTCCCAGGGCCCTCAGAAATATGGGAACCAATTTCAGAAAAGCAATCAAGAGGAAGTAGAGGTTTCCGAGGAACCTCCGGAATGGACTTGCGTGCCGCCTCCGACTTCTTACTCATGCCCCAAATGAATGTTCAACCGGTCCCAGTCCATTCCCCTGGACCTTTGCCCCCTGCCACCATTGGGCTTATTCTGGGCCGTGGCTCCTTAACTTTACAGGGACTCATTATATATCCTGGAATTGTTGACCCATATCATAAAGAGGAGATTCAAGTTCTCTGTTCTAGCCCTCGGGGTGTATTTTCTATAAAGCAGGGAGATAGAATTGCACAACTGGTGTTGCTGCCCTCCCTCGGGGATGGAGAAACCTACACTTTACAAAAAAGGGCTATGGGATCTTCTGGAAGTGATTCAGCCTATCTGGCTATACCCCTAAATGAGAGACCTACAATAAAATTGTTAATTAATGGAAAAGAATTTGAAGGGATAATGGATTCGGGAGCAGACAAAAGCATTATTTCACTCCATTGGTGGCCGAAGTCTTGGCCCACTGTTGTTTCATCTCATTCTCTACAAGGTCTTGGATACCAGTCCTCTCCTGCCATCAGTGCCTCAGCCTTAACCTGGCGGGATGCTGAAGGCAAACAGGGATGTTTTACCCCCTATGTGTTGCCACTCCCTGTAAATTTATGGGGACGAGATGTGTTACAAGCCATGGGCATGACCCTAACTAATGAATACTCCCCCAGGCATCAGCCATTATGGCAAAGATGGGGTATACAAATGGTAGAGGCTTGGGTAGGCAAGAACAAGGCAGAATAAAACCCATTACACAACACGGAAATCGGGGTAGAAAAGGACTGGGTTTTATTTAGGGGCCGTTGAGGCTTCACGACCCATACCATGGAAAACAGAGGAGCCGTTATGGGTCTCTCAATGGCCTCTATCCTCTGAAAAATTAGAGGCTGTCACAAGATTAGTGCAAGAACAGGAACGGCTGGGGCATCTAGAGCCTTCTACCTCCCCATGGAATACACCAATTTTTGTTATTAAGAAGAAATCTGGGAAGTGGAGATTACTCCACGACCTGCGGGCCATTAACAATCAGATGCATCTTTTTGGCCCTGTTCAAAGAGGCCTTCCTTTGCTTTCTGCACTTCCTCAAGATTGGAAGCTTATTATTATAGATATTAAGGATTGTTTCTTCTCTATTCCACTTTACCCACGGGATAGACCAAGGTTTGCCTTCACTATCCCTTCTCTTAATCATATGGAACCAGACAAGAGATTTCAGTGGAAGGTACTGCCGCAAGGCATGGCCAATAGCCCAACAATATGTCAGCTATATGTGCAGGAGGCTTTGGAGCCAATTAGGAAGCAATTTACATCTTTAATCGTTATCCATTATATGGACGATATTCTTATTTGTCACAAAGAGTTAGATGTTTTACAAAAGGCTTTTCCCATGCTGGTGGCTGAATTAAAACAGTGGGGATTAGAGATTGCCTCAGAAAAGGTTCAAATTGCAGATACAGGGCTCTTTTTGGGCTCAAAGATTACTCCCAAAAATATAGTTCCTCAGAAAATAGAAATTCGCAAAGACCACTTACAAACATTAAATGATTTTCAGAAACTTCTGGGAGATATAAATTGGTTGAGGCCCTTTTTAAAAATTCCATCTGCTGATCTAAAACCCCTCTTCGATCTCCTGGAGGGTGAGCCTCATATCTCCTCACCCAGAAAATTTACCCCTGCCGCCCACCGAGCCTTACAGATGGTGGAAGAGGCCTTACAGGAAGCACAATTACAACGAATTGAGGAGTCACTACCTTTTAATCTGTGTGTTTTTAAGACAGCTCAATTGCCAACTGCAGTCCTGTGGCAACATGGACCATTACTTTGGATTCATCCAAATGCTTCCCCTGCTAAGATTATTGACTGGTACCCTGATGCTGTTGCACAGCTCGCGCTTCGCGGAATAAAAGCAGCTGTTACACATTTTGGCAGGGATCCTGATTCCTTGATTGTGCCTTATACTGCTGCACAAGTTCAGACCTTGGCAGCCACATCTAGTGATTGGGCAGTTTTAGTTACTTCCTTTTCAGGACAAATTGATAATCATTTTCCAAAGCATCCAATTTTACAGTTTGCCCTAAACCAGGCTATAGTGTTTCCACAAGTGACAGCTAAAGACCCACTCCCAGATGGGACTGTGGTGTACACTGATGGATCAAAAACTGGTATGGGAGCTTATGTGGTCAAGGATAGGGTTATATCTAAACAATATAATGAAACTTCACCTCAAGTTGTAGAATGTCTGATAGTACTGGAGGTTCTTGAGGCTTTTCCAGGACCCCTCAATATTGTATCAGATTCCTCTTATGTGGTTAATGCAGTTAATCTCCTTGAGATAGCTGGAATAATAAGATCCTCCAGCAGAGTTGCTAACATCTTTCAGAAGATACAAGCTGCCTTGTTAAATAGGAGATTTCCTGTTTTCATTACCCATGTCCGAGCACATTCTGGACTCCCAGGTCCCATGTCCTTAGGGAATGACTTAGCGGACAAGGCTACAAAGCTGGTGGCCGCTGCCTTGTCTACCCATGCACAAGCAGCAAAAGAATTCCATAAGCGCTTTCATGTGACGGCTGAGACCTTGCGCCGTCGTTTTGCTCTATCCAGGAAAGAGGCTAGGGAAATTGTTACTCAATGCCAGAATTGCTGCGAATTCTTACCTACTCCCCACATGGGAATAAACCCACGTGGCATTAGACCATTGCAGATGTGGCAGATGGATGTTACTCATATTCCCTCTTTTGGAAGGCTTCAATATGTTCATGTTTCTGTTGACACCTGTTCTGGCGTAATGTTTGCCACACCCCTAACAGGGGAAAAGGCCTCAT